TAAAGGTATCACCTGACTCTTCCATCTGTTCAAAATTGTTCACGAAATCCAGAACATACTGTATGTTTGTTGCATAAATAGGTGACACTGCTGCTAAGATGTCTCTAAAATATTTCTACACTTTCTTTCAGCTGACATATGGTTCATTTGCCTTTAAAGACATTCAAATATTGGAGGGTTCTTCCTTTTATCGGATGGCTCCAAATGCAGCCAACCTGTATGTGGGGACACTTCAATTACTTCAACATTTTGGGTGGACGTGGGTTGGACTCTTTGTAGAAGACAGTGATAGTGGAGAATATTTCTTGCAGACCATGGAGTCGTTGCTTTCTGAACATGGGCTCTGCTCAGCCTTCACAGAAAGAATTCCACAATATGCTCAGTTAGATGACTTGGATGAAGGCTATGGAACCATCGCAAAAATGTATGAACTTTTCACCGACGAGAAAGTGAACATCTTGATTATCTATGGTGGGTCACTTACCTTTGCCTGGTTTAAAATGTTAATGTTTCTAGTAGATCCTGAGGAGAAGGAGAAGACTCGATATGGAAAGGTGTGGATTTTGACAACTGAGATTGAGTTAGTATCTCTAGGTTTGTTGAAAGACAAGGTTTGTCAGTTTCTCGATGGGGCCATTTCCTTCACGTTCCACACAGAGGATGTCCCCGGGTTCAAAGATTTCCTTCAAACCATAAAGCCTAAGGGTGCTCAAGAAAACCATTTTCTCAAGGACTTCTGGGAGCGATCATTTGATTGTTCATTTCCAGACCCAAAGGAGTCACTCAGACTGAATGATATATGTACTGGAGAAGAGAGGTTAGACAGCCTTCCTGCAGATGTTTTTGAAATGGACATGACTGGGCACAGCTATAGCGTCTACAACGCTGTCTACGCTTTGGCACATGCGCTTCATACCATCTTCTCAGAGAGAGCCAAACGGAAAAGAGTGGGAGGAAGGAACATGGGTCAAATTCCAGCTTTGCTGGTGTCTCAGGTAATATCTCTCCCAAATCTCTCCTAATGGTATGACATCCAGATCTCCTTGAATAATCAGTGAGGGAGTGCCTGTCAGTAAAATAAATGATATTGACTTATGGATTTACATTTTCTTGTAGCTTGAAGTAAATTTCAGTTGCTCCCTCTCTCTCTGATGGTGTTCCTGCATGGCAGGGGATTGGACTCAATGGCCCCCGTGGTCTCTTCCAGTTCTGTGATTCTACACGATCCCTCTTTTTCTCTTCCAAACAGATCCACCACTTGCTTCAAAGCATTTCGTTCAACAACTCAGCGGGTGAAACCGTGTCCTTTGATGATAATAGGGAAACGGTTGGAGGACTGGACATAAGGAATGTGGTCATGTTCCATAACAACTCTTTCCAGTTGTTGAAAGTTGGAAAGGTGGATCGGAATGCCTTGGGAGGAAAAGAATTCATCCTTAAGGACAATATGATTGTGTGGCATGGGCGTTTTAACCAGGTACAGATTCTGGGGTACCCTAGGATAAATAACACCACCCCAGATGGATTATAAGGGTGACTAAAATATCATTTTCTTCCTTAGTGTGACATGACCAGATGCGTGGCTATTTAATTGTTAAAAAGATCTGATTCCCCCTACTTATTTTGTTTTTTTCTCAGTACATTTTCTGTGCATAGAATCATAGAATCATAAAGTTGGAAGGTGCCTATAAGGCTATCAAACCTAACCCCCTGATTAATGCAAGAATCCAAATCCAAACAGATATGACAAATGGCTGTCCAATTTTCTCTTGAATGCGACCACCGCTGTAGCATTCATCACCTCCCAAGGTCATTAGTTCCCTTGTTGTACTGATCTAACAGTTAAGGCATTTTTCCTGATATTCCGCCTAAATCTGGTTTCCTGTAGCTTGAGCCCATTATTATGTGCCCTGTACTTTGAGATGATTAAAAACAGATCCTGCCCTTCCTCTACAGCCCTTCAAGTAGTCTCAAGGCTAAACATGCCCAGTTCTCTCAGTCTTTCCTTATAGGGCTTGGCAAATTGAATAATGTAGAACACGGTGTGAATTTATGTACTGTTTTAGTAAGTTAAGGTGGTGGTGGTTGTTGTTTAGTCGTTTAGTCCTGTCCAACTCTTTGTGACCCCATGGACCAGAGCACGCCAGGCCCTCTTGTCTTCCACTGCCTCCCAGAGTTGGGTCAAATTCATGTTGGTCGCTTTGATGACACTGTCCATCCATTTCACCCTCTGTCGTCCCCTTCTCCTCTTGCCTTCACACTTTCCCAGCATCAGGGTCTTTTCCAGGGAGTCTTCTCTTCTCATGAGATGGCCAAAGTACTGGAGCCTCAGCTTCAGGATCTGTCCTTCCAGTGAGCACTTGGGGTTGATTTCCTTTAGAATGGATAGGTGTGTTCTCCTTGCAATCCAGGGGACTCTCAAGAGCTTTTACTCCAAGCACCACAATTCAAAAGTATCAATTTTTCGGCGGTCAACCTTCTTTATGGTCCAGCTCTCACTTCCATACATCACTACAGAAAAAATCATAGCTTTGTCCTAGTCTTCAATGCGGGAAGGCCTGGTTGTTAAGGATAAGTTAAGCTTGTGGATTATCCAATTATATTTCACCTCCATAACACAAGAGTTTGCAGTCTGTACTCTACGGAAAATGGCATTATGTTAGATCCATTTTTGAACAAAAACACTGTGTGAATATTTTGCATTCTATATATCTTTCATGTTTGTGGGCAGGTACATCCCATTTCTCTGTGCAATAAACACTGTTCTTCTGGTTATCAGAAAAAAAATAAGGAAGGGAAGAAATTTTGCTGCTATGATTGTGTTCCGTGCCCAGAAGGGAAGATCTCCAACCAGACTGGTAGGTGAAGTTCAAACTCTATTACAATTTTCTCCAGTATTTGGTTTTTCAAAATGAGGTGGCAATGAATGGGTTCTCTCCCTGTTTTTCAGATATGGATGACTGTTTCCCATGCCCAGAGGACCAATATCCAAATGAGAATAAAAATGGGTGTATCCCCAAAACTATACACTTTCTGTCTTTTGAAGAACCTTTAGGGAGTGGCTTAGCCTCACTCGCTCTTTCATTTGCCTTGATGACGGCCTTTATCCTTGGGATTTTTATCAAGCACAGAGATACTCCTCTAGTCAAAGCCAACAACAGGGACCTCACTTACGTCCTCCTGGTTTCTCTCCTCCTCTGCTTCCTGTCTTCTTTGCTCTTCCTTGGACAACCAGGGAAAGTGACTTGCCTTCTCCGACAAACAGCTTTTGGCGTCACCTTCTCTACGGCCATCTCTTCTGTTCTGGCAAAAACCACCATCGTTGCTCTTGCGTTCCTAGCGACAAAGCCAGGATCTCGGATGACAAAGTGGGTGGGCAAAGGCCTGGCCCTTTCGGTTGTTCTCCCATGCTCCCTTGTTCAAGCAAGCCTTTGCACGCTGTGGTTGGCGTTCTTTCCTCCATTCCCTGAGTTAGACACACAATCCGTGCTTGAGGAAATCATTCTGCAATGCAACGAAGGGTCTGTCACCATGTTTTACTGTGTCTTGGGCTACTTGGGTCTTCTGGCCACGGCCAGCTTCTTTGTGGCCTTCCTAGTCCGTAAGTTACCGGACAGCTTTAACGAAGCCAAATTTATTACCTTCAGCATGCTGTTTTTTTGCAGTGTGTGGCTTTCCTTTGTTCCGTCATACTTGAGCTGTAAAGGGAAGCACATGGTGGCTGTGGAGGTCTTCTCTATTTTGTTCTCTACGGCAGGCTTGTTGGGTTGCATCTTTTTCCCTAAATGCTACATCATTGTCTTGAGGCCTTCTCTGAACCAGAGGGAGCAACTAATCAGGAGAAAGCATTAACAAACTGTCAGTTTCTCTCATTTTCCCTGTTACGTTTAGCAATAATGATTGAAGAGCACATCATTGATGCGATTAGTTTTTGTATATGTTTGATATGATATTCTAGGGTCTCTGTAAAGTTTATGTTGATTGAAAAAAATCTCTCCAATGCAAAAAGGAAAAAAGCAATGCTGTGCTCAAATATTTATTAATATTAATAAATGAAAATTAGCAAATTCATTTACTGTTAATACTGGCAGGGGTGTAATTTAATTTCCTCTGCTTGTATTTACTGAATTTTAGTTAAACTAGCAGTTAGAAATTAATTACACAAGGGAATAAATTCTGCTCTTAGTAAAAACACAAAAATGCAAAATTCACTTTTGTACACAGTCATCAGCATGAACATTTTTGTATCACTAAAGCCACATGGAAAAGCAATCTTTATAAACTTCCTCCAAACGATACCTCTGTTTCTTTACTCAGAAGTACCATCATCAGCATGAACATCTTTCTATCACCAAAACCACATGAAAAAGCAATCTTTAGAAACTTCCTCCAAACTATACCTCTATTTGTTTACTCAGAAGTATCAGAAGCAGCTTGATAGGCTTTTCCAGTC